GGTACTCTGGGTAACTGATGTCCTCAGGTGGGGCCCATGGCTGCGATGGGGCGTTCCGGTTGCACGTGTGGCATCGTTCACGGGCGCGCCGAATAGCTGACGTGATGCCGGGCCAGTACACGCTTACGGCCGCGCGCGCGAGCATCATGCCGATCCCTTGGTGCGCACCGTGGAGACTCTGGAGCACCTCCTCGCGGAGGCTGGGTGGGATGACGATTCGCTGATCATACAGGATGATGCCGTCGCTGGTGTATAGGCCATCACGGAGCGAATGATACTCTCGGAGCTCCTCAGGCATCTCGTGGCGGTGGGCTGGTAGCCCTCCCTCGATCAGTTCGAGAAGTCGCATCATCGACGGATCGCCTGCCGTTGCGTCCCTCACGCGGTCCCAGGTGACAGACCGGATCGTGGTGATGGCGGCTGCCGCTACCTCGCCAGCATCGTCGACGGTGACGTCGTCGGAGAGGCTTATGCCGATGGGAGCGCCGGTTGGGTACCGGGACGCGATGTCGGGAACGCGGTTCTTGACTCCGGGGAGATAGCTGATGTCGAATCTGAACCGGAGGGTCTTTTCCTTGAGATTACGGAGACGGGCGTTGGGCAGGTCGACCAGTGATCGGTCCCCGAAAATCTTCACGAGGGGTTTGTGGTCAACAACGACCGTGAGGTCGCTGCAGCCGAGCACGAAGAAGCGCGTTTTCTCGAGGGCGTCGGCCACTGCCAGCGCCTCGCCCTCGACCGGGGCGTACCGAGATTCAGCGCCGGATGTAAAGCGGCTTCCCACCAGCGTGGTCTTCCAGCCCTCAGCGCAGCAGAGTGGTGACCGACCGGCGCATGTGCAGTATTTCTGGAGTAACCAGAAACCGATACCAGTACGGGACCAGTCGGTGGCCAGGACGGTTGGGCGATCTGTCTCGAAGATCTGGACACCCTTCGTGACCTCCTCGACGATGGTCCGTTTCGACATGTCGAACAGTGCCTGGAGTTCATCCGTCCACGTGAACTTGCCGGGCTTCAGGAGTTCCCGGAACGGCAGCATGGCATCCGCCATGGCGAATGCGTAGGCGACGTGATTGACGACCCCGAACCACGCGCGGACGTCTGTCAGGTTCCTGGGAGTGGGGAACTCGGTGATGCTCTGAAGGAAGGCATGAGACGGGCGGACTGTGTCAGGCGTGATTTCAAACCCAGCGAATTCCGCTGTCTTCTGGGCGAAGACAAACTTCTCGCTGTTCAGCGTGATGCCGGAACGGCCACACATGTCCAGCCATTCCACAGTGCGCCAGAACACCTCCTCGATGCTGTCTCCCCAGAGAAGGGTGTCGTCGATGCATTTCGTGTAGCAGTCGTGTGACAGGTTTGCCGCCATCACGATCTCGTCATAGCGGCGCGTGTACCCGTCACCGCTGGAGATGTAGCCCTGGGGTGCCGCGCAGTAACGGTATCGGCCCCAAGGGGTCAGGAAAGTGGTGAGGTGTCGATCTTCCTCGTGTAGGGGCACCGAATGGTAGCCATTCCAGGCGTCCAGTATCGTCTTGTAGGTCGACCTCGGCACAGACCGGGCTTGGTGGAAGGGACTTGGGGTATGATGCGTCTCTCTTGCGGCGCAGCGGTTCAGGGGCTGAAGGTCGACGCAACGGCGAGGGCTTCCCGACTTCTTGGAGACGACGACCATCCGGTGGCACCAGGTCACCGGCTCACCAATCGGTACGGGCTCGATGACCCCCAGCTGCACGTCGCGATCCAGGGCGGCCTTGACCTCCGTCTGCCAGTGCAGTGGTACTGGGATAGCCTTGTGGTGGGCCACTGGCTCGGCGTCAGGTCTGAGCATGATGCGCAGGGGTGGACCGTCCATCGGCGTGAGTGGCTGATGTTCACAGGTGTTGAACGTGCTCGCAGAGTAATAGTCGGCCAGCCACTGACGCAGGGCGTCGACGTTGCTCTCCGTTGCCGGCATAGGTAGCTCTGTTGGCTTAGGCGGAGGCGTCTGACGGCGAGGACAGGAACATGCGTTGTACTCGTCGATGCCGATCCCATCCGCGGAGATAGACGCGAGCCCGACAGCGGGGAAAGCGGCGTCGATCATGCCGAGGTCACGACAGGCATCTCGACTGAGGTACATGGTGTCGCAGTTCGGCGTGATGTACACGAACTGTCGAGTCTCCCGCCGAATGCCGTCGCGGTGGCCGGATATACGTAGGATCAACGCTCCGCGGATGTCGATGGGATCGCCGTTTGCTGCGTGCATCCTCAGGGACGTCGGGACGAGGTCAGCCTCCGTGACGCCAAGGCGTCGCATGAGAGAGATGCCCGCCAGACAGCTCTGACAGCCTGTGTCGGCGATGACTTCCTGAGTGATGGTGGCCTGGCTGACCGTGCACTGGAGGCCCAGGGCGCCGTAATCGGCCGGTTGGAGCGAGAGGTCCAGTTTAATCGACGGCTGGGGCTGGCTGGGTTGCTGACACCAGCTCTGGGTGATGTCGTCGTACATGTGGTGCCGCATGGCTGCGGCGGTGCATGAAGCTACCGTGTCGTGCGTTGAGTCTCTGAGGCTACAGAGAGCGTCACTGGGAGCGTCATCATCGCCCTCCGGATGTGTAGTCGCGATACCGGCTGCCTGTCGCTGCAGGCAGGCCTCGGTGAAGTGGCCCCGGCGTCTGCAATGACGGCACTGGCTGCGGTAGGCGGGACAGGATTTAGCGCGAACCGCGACAGAGGCTTTTACGCCATGACCTGTCCGACGACAATATTGGCAGACGTCGGCCGGTCCTGCGACTGAACTCTGTTGACGGCCAGCATCGCCAGCTGATACTCGCCGCTCCTGCTCGCCGATGCTCGCTTTCGCTCGCCGGTACTGGCTGCGGGCGGCGGCCACACCTTGAGACTGACCCAGCGTCTGAGCGGATCGCTTACCAGCCTCTTTTGCTTCGACGAAACGAATGGTCTCTTCCAGGGGGATCGGTGTCTGGCCTTGGGCGAGGAGGTCCAGTTGAATATCCCTGTCCGCTAGCCCCCTGGCGAGCGTATCGCGTGTGACTTCATCCTGGTAGCTGACGACCCGTCCGCATTCGCAGGTGACGTGAAACTTACAGACAGCCGCCTGCCCGCGAAGACGAGCGGCGAACGCCCTGACCGGCTCTTCGTGCTCCTGCGTCATGTTGTGGAGCTGGACGCGAGCCACTGCGAGGTTTTCCTCGCGGACGGCGAGACTTCGCATTGCGGCCAAGACAGTCTGTTCGTCCTTGGATGAGAGGGAGCCCCCCGAGAATCTGGTGAGGTCCCTGCGGAGGCCTTCGTCGCAGCATTCAAGCAGCTGGATGACGCAGTCTGTATCGGTGAGTCCGGTGGCTTTCTTGTACTCCGTCCATCGGCTGGTGAAATACTCCCAGTCCTCGCTGGATCCGGCAGCTGTCACGCGCGGTCTGGTGACCTTTTCGGCAGTAATGCTCACTGTAGGCCGGGTATGGGCCTCGGACTGGTGCATTTGAAGAAGTTGTACGACCACGATAGGTGCGGTATCTGCAGCGACGACGTATTCACAGCCGCTGAATGGGCAGGCTGTTGCCATGGTTCGAGGCTCGGGTTTCGACGTTATGCTTGATTGCAAATTAAGATATGTCCAACATAGATAGGCATGCGCGCCATTTCGATATTCTGTATTCGGAATTCAGTGAATGTTGGACATATCTAGTCCTGCGGACGAGACAGAAACAATGTTACAGAGGGAAGGCACTGCATACATGTCTACAAATGGTTGCTAAATTCGAATTCAGCTCCAAAAACTAGCCTAGAAACATGTAAAACTCGAAAAAGTGACCCGAGGTCACCCGAGGTCACCAAAGGTCAATGACCTGACCTGACCTTCAGGTGACCTTGACACACACGGGAGTAACATCAAATCACATGTTTGAACGTTTGAAACCACGAAAAGCTTGTAAACACGCGGCTAGTGCGAGCCGACATACGCGAAATCGCGATTCCGGCCAAACATGGTCTCGGAAAAGAGGTCACAGGTCAAAGGTCATTTGGGTCAGGGTCATGAAATTTTCAGGGTAGGTGTCAAATTGATCAATGCGAGGGTACTGAAAGTTTCGTCGCGATCGGCCGCTTTTTACGCGAGTTATTCGCGAAAAACCATGGGGGGGGTCCATCCGACCCCCCCCCCCCTACACATGCGAGGGTTAAAAGGTTCGGGCCAAATTTGTTAAAAAATCCTTAGCTTTTTGTCAAGCAGACAGCAGTGGTTCCATATAGTGCGCCGAAGGAGTGCCAAATTTTCAAAATTGAGTACCTATGATTCATTGAGAGCAATCTGCAGGTATTGGCAACCACACGCGGGTCTTATAGTTGGAGATTATGGCTTTAAGTAAATACCTACCCGATTTGCAATATTACATCCATGGCAGTCAACATCCGAAGAACGAGTTTTTTTCTCTTATGGAGGAAGCTTTTAGGATTTGAGTGAAAAAGCTACCCCGGCCGCGCCGGGGTAGGCTGAAAGTTACCCCGGCCACGGCCGGGGTGGCCGGGGCAGGTTCTCCACCCATGCAGCCCGGAGGGGGGTTGCGGCGTGGAGGAGAAGGATTTCAGTATCCTGAGGATAGAAGCACGGAACGGTGAACGTTACGAATATTCATCTGAGCTGTTGAGTGCTGTTGATGTTAGAGATTGATGTGCAGTCGGATACCTATTTCTGGCTATTTTTGTCTTTTTTTTTGAAACGGGTCTGCAGTTTGGCCCACCAACCTTGACCTAGGAGGCACTTATACCTACCTCCCTTATGCCGAAAGCGGACGAGGTCTACCTGTCTAACTGGGAAAAGGCTGTTCAGGTACTAAGCACCCGAGCAAGACTTATTGTGCCATTGAGTTCCACCTGAATCTGCGAGTAGGTAGCAAAGTTCCTCCAGATATCAGGTGTTAGACGGTAAGCATTGATGCACAGACCTGTAGAAAATATGCTTTGTTCCGGTGCCGAGATGATCGATTAAAAACAAAATGTTTCTACAAATCCCGTTTTATTATATCGACTATCGAGCTACTTTTGAGACTCAGTGCAATTGAGTGCAATATGCATAATGCCTTCGATGCTATTCTAGAATAAAAGGTAACCCACGATCACAAATCACATTCAGCACAATGTCAACACAGTGGCATTGGGGGTGTACGAATAAATCGCTTTCCAAAGGTGATCACGCTCAACTAGCACGAACGAACAAAACGCACGACCCCGAATAATGACGCATCCCTGCAGACCACAATGATAAGTAACCGTAAAACAATCGACCGTCCCAAAACGTTAACTAAAACCTACATCCACTCAGCTCTTATGAATCCCGAGTGATCATATGTCCGCGACAGGTGACATTATGACTACATAAGTGTCGACAAAACGGTGAGTACCATCACAAGCGATGCTCTAGGCATAGATATTCCCGTCAGTACCTATCCATCTTTGTCGGTACACTAGACCGGAGTCATCCGTAATTAAACGTCATCGTCGAACGAATTATCGACCGTTCTGAAAGTCACAGACCACGCCCACCGGTTGTCATCATTAACACCATCCGTCAAGTACCACCATTACATTACCACCAGGGCATCGTCGTCAATCATCTCAGTCTGAGCTATCGCCACCAAACATCGAACATTGAACATGTGTAGACTTTCAACTGGCACCACCGGTCACTATCAGTCATCACCAGTCATCACCAGTCATCACCAGTCGTCACCAGCTCCACCACGCGCCTGCGAACCACACTCCACAGCCGTCACAAGCTGTCACCACCAGTCACCACTTGTGCTTAGTCCATCGCCAGTAGTTATTCACTGTGTGTTCAGGATGCCGCCATCAGTTTATAGATGCCCGTGTAGCCTACGAGCCGTGCCCGGAGCGTCGGCAGGGCCCGTGCAGAGGCCACTACGTTATCCAGTAGGTTACTGCACTCACAGGTGAGGATATAATAGAGGTCGCCGCTGTCCGTGGACTTGTGGAGCACCATCCGACGCAGGCCGGCGCACGGCGGTATACTGCGGTAGAGCAGACGGGCCCCTGTCGGAGGGGAGGGGAGGGGAGGGTGAGAGTGGTAGAGTAGACGGACATTTGTTACCGGTTAGCTGTGTGATAACGGGCCGTCAAACTGACAAACTGAGCCCCCGACTTCCTTTTACCCAGCGTTGCACAGTGCACTTGCAACTGATCCAAGGTCCGTTTTAAACTCACCGTACTAATTTAGTTAGTCCTAATTTAACTAGCCATTCTATGTAATTGAGTTATTGTCACTTCGACTCACCGGTCCAGCTGAGCCAGTCGCGCTCAAAGTTTCTTCGATCGTCGCCTTCGAGAACTCGGAATATTGAGACGATGTAGCCCGTGCTATCACTGACCGGGCGCCTTTGGTCCGCTGGCGATAGGTCAACAGGGGTCAGTTTAGGTCAACAGAGGCTAGTTCAGGTCAATCGAGGTCAGTTTAGGTCAACTGAGGTCATTTCAGGTCATCTGAGGTCATCCAAAGTCAGGTCAGGTCAACTGAGGTAAGTTTAGATACATCAAAGTCCGATTGCGTCATCAGAGGTCATATGAGGTCAGCTGAGATCAGTCCAGGTCAAATGAGGTTAGCTTACGTCACCAGAAGTTATGTCATTGCAGCATGGGTAATGCCAGGTCAGACGAGGTCAGCATAGGTCTCAGTTGAGGTCAGTTCAGATCATGCAAGAAAGTCAGATGAGGTCAGTTCAGGTCACCCAAAGTCAAGCAGGTCAGCTGAGGTAAGTTTATATCAACTTAGGTCATTTAAGGTCAGATGAGGTCAGTTAAGGTCAGATGAGGCGAGGTAAGGTCAGAAAACGTCAGTTAAGGTCAGATGTTCAGAGATTAAATCAGTTTGTCTGGGACTCTGGGGCCAAGTCTGGTTGACTGTGGTCGGTTCAGCAAAGGTTAGGCCAGATAAAGTCAGTTATGATAAGTTCAGGTCAAATGAGCCAGATGAGGTCAAGTCAGGTCAGCTGAGGCTAGTTTGTCACCGTACTAACAACCTTATTTTAATGTTGAGGTCAGCACGTCTAGCCATCGGCATTAATAAAGGTCAGGTCAGAGTAAACCAGTCTTCCGCTAGCAGTTCATCTTATTTCAGGTCATGCATAAGCAGACGGTTAAAATTCAGACCACTCATGAAATTGACATATCAGCGAGGTCACGTCGGCCGTCCGGCTCGCCTTTTACCGAGTTATGGCGCGGCTACAGTCGATCCTTTTACTCTGATAAGTTGCTGATCCGATGCAGCCCGCCCGTCTCCGCTGGCAGCATTGATGCAGCCCATTCAGTCCAATGCCTATGAAAGCTTTTCCTCTCGGCCGCCAAATGTCACATGTTATGAATCAAACCGCGCCGGCAATGCGACTTTGGCGGTCAAATGTGATGCAAGATCATCCGAATGTTCGACATTTCAGAACAAATATTTTCCTAAGCGAAGTAAAAGTGCACTAAACATCCGAAGAATGAGGTTGTTTGCTGCTGAACGACGCACTTCTGTTTCACAATTTGAGCGGGCTGTTGCCGGGATGACGATTCAAAGACCCACTGACGGTGTCGCCTGTATGTAGAGAACCGGGCCTGGCAGTGCCACAGCTCTACACGAGGATACGATAAACTGTTGGATGGCAAACTATGAGCTTGATCAAGCCGGTGGATAGGTGCCTAAGTGTACATACCATAACAACAATAAGTTAACGAGCACGACATTGGACAACCATAAACGTTAAATGACGGAGCGATGCGACTAACTTTACGTAACTAAGCGGTATCCCGAAACAAAACAGCCCAGGGAACAAGCTTTGAAAATCGAAACACAGGACGGAGATAAGAAGAACGTTACGGACGGGTGGATGTTATTTGAGTTCGTTCATTGATTGTCTACTAATCCAGTTTCAACAAATGCGAGTTCACGGTTCTTTTTGCTGTCTCTTGCCAAGCATTGCATGTTGAGCACAGAAATGTTTCGTGCAACATTACCCATCGACATCGATCAAATCGGCAGAAATCTTCATCAGCCCGCCAGCCCGCCAGTTTTGGGATAAGCGTACAACCCGAGCCGCAATATTAAATTATAAAACAGTCTTCCGATTCCACAAAGTTCTTAACTGAAGAAGCGACTTAACGCTCTTCATCAGGACGCCTTACTGCCTCATAACTTGCAACGAACCATAAAGCCTGTAGCGACGCTCAGACATTATGCACCATTAAGCAGTCTAACGACCTCCAACCGAGAGTCTCGGCTAGCCCGCGTTCTTACCGCAACATATCACTGCCTGGCAGTCAGACGGTATACCCACAGACCTACTCACAGAGCCTCTGACTCATATATTCTGAGACAATGACAGGATTGAGGTCTAAGGCACACTCACAGGACGGGATCTGAGACACAGGCACAGCGTGAAGGTCTGAGACATTCACAGAGCGGAGGTCTAAGGAACGTTCACATGCGAGCGAGAGTCTGAAACATACGAGACGAGACGCACACTCGCAGAGCGGAGGGCTGAGACACAGAGATATGACATACTCACAGAGTAGAGGTTTGAGACATACAGAGTAGAGGTCAGAGACACACATATAGAGACAGGGCACACTCACAGAGCGGCGGTCGGGCGATGCTGGCCACCTCGTCGTACAGTTTGATGTTGTGCTCGCCCACGTAGGAGGTCTCCAGTCGCGAGAAGGTGGTCTGAGTGGCCCGAACCACAGCCGTGTAGGCCTCAGGAACGCTGCGCCGCTGTCGGTCCACCGTGTAGTACAGCAGGAACGGGAACTGCTCTGTCGGAGGCACGGCACGGAGGGACTGCCGGTTATCTTCAAAGCTAGTGAAACCGGACAATATAGATTATAATGACAGGTTGTCATCGATTTACCTTGTAATTACTTATCAATGCAGTACTTTAGACGGTTTCGGTCGGTCGATTTGGTCGATTCGGACGGTCAATTTGTTCGTCTCTCCGTTTGTTATTTGTCCGTTCATCTGTCCCCTTGCCCGTCAGTTCGTCTGGCCCATTCCCACCGTTCTGACCTGTCCTCTCGAGGTTGCTGAGCAGCAGGGCGTCCCGTGTTCCCGCCGTCTGCGTCACCTGGCGCAGCAGACTAACACACGCTCCCAGCTGCACGTGCCGCGGGGGCGCCGGCTGCAGCAGACTGGGCGCCAGCGGCGTCAGGTGACCCAGCACGTGGATCACCACGCTCAGACCGGGGCTGGGTGTCTGACGTAGACTCAACCGCTGGCCCTGAGTCGGAGGTGCCGATGGAAGCTGTAGCGGAGACGGGGCGAGGTGGGTCAGTTAGACAGGGCTGATTATTGATTAAAGACGGGTAAACGGAGGTAGTGTTGGAGGTAAACGGGTCGGGTTAATAATTATACGGAGTGGATTTTAACTCATGGATTTAGAGTGAGTGTGTCTAGTGAGTGAGTGTGTCTGAATGTAAAACGGAGTGCTCGGAGGTAACGGAATGTAAAAGGGTCGAATTTAGACGGGGTGGGCTAGGGTAAGACTAATTAGGTCAGAGAGAGTTAGACGGGCCGAGGTCAATATAAGACGGAGTGGGTCAGAGTTGAGTTTAGACTGCCGAGCTCAGAATTAAACGGATTGTGTCATAGCTGGACCGAAAGCAGTCAGAGTTACACGGATTGGGTAAGAGTTACAGGAGCCGAGTTCATCGTTCGACTAAGTCGGTCAATTATAGACGGAGAAACTCATAGTCAGACGGGATAAGGTCAGGCTAGACTGACTCAGTCAGATTAAACGTGGTGCACCAGATCTACACGGACCGTATAGGAAATAAAAGGGGTGGGTGACTGGGTCAGAGTTAGGCCGTAGACGGTTGAAGTGAGACAAAGCATGGGTTGGAGCCATACAAAGTTACATGTCAAACTTGAAGTGGTCGGGTCGGAGTTGGAAGCTGGTTGTGCGGCGATGGATGGCTGGGTAGCCAAACAGAAACAGTCCTACGCCAGAGATCGAGCGAAATTTAATTAGCTGGATAAATGTCACACAAACAAACTGACAGGAGACTGATAATGTGTCAGAAATGCCATAATCGGGGCTGGCAACTGTCGTATTCTGAAATAGTTATAACGACATCGAATTTACGATTATTTATGACAAATTATGCAAGTAGGTAGGTATCTCAGGATTGGGCCAGCTAATCCATAAACTTGTTACTTATGCCTAAACGTTTCTCCTAAATCGATACCTAAATCCTCGCACCCGGACCACATGCAGCCATTCGTCAGGAATACGCGCGCTGTGAGGCAGGTCTGTTCCGTCACGCCCCCGACCGTGACACGTGTAACGGACATCCACACTTGTTCCCGTCAGGACCGACGCCGATTGCTACTGCCACTGTCAGTCAGCCCACCTGGCCAGCTGTCACCTGACAGGCTGACAGTGCACCTTCGCAGACGAGTCAGAGCGCCGTCGGGTTGTGCATGTGAATGGTGTAGATATCTCGAACGGCATTAGAGTTGGTCGTGGACAGCATATCGACGTCGTACAACGACGCGTGACTTGGGGCTATATATTCGGACCAGCCATGAATTCTAACCGGGGAGCGGAAATTCGTGCCATATGTATCCGAAGAACCGTCGCTACCCATCTGCCCATGACTCGCCTTGCTGACACTGACACCATTTTGCAATGCCGACTCGTGTCATGTGTCACCAGATGGTGTCAAGTGTCAGTCTGGCACCGGTGTGGGACTGTGCCGCCCCCGCCCTCCCCCGTTCTGGCCCGTCTGCCCCCGTCGTTACCGTTGAGGTATTGTAGCGAGGCAGCCAAACGGGTCAGAGCGGGACACAACTTGGCCGGGTGATCCCGGTGTTGGCAATAATCGCAGAGGCGGTGGGGTCGCGGGGCCGGCCGTACTTTGCAACACGAATGACAGAAATGCTCCATGATATAAAAGACATAAAAGACATAAATTTGCAGTACAACAAAGAGCCACTGGGGCCCATACTTGGTTGCACATTTGCACAGTCTGTCAAAATGCGTGCCACCTTTCCGCTTTTCTCCCTAACTTATGTGTGTGAAGTTGGCACAAAACAGCCACACATTGCAGGCATAAAGCATACCTACACCACATAACACAACATTTTGCCACTTCATCACTTCATCAATCATTTCGTCACAACTCTTCCCTGCCCCCCCCCCCCCCCCGGCCACGCACTATCATCGCCAAATGTCTCACAAGTCCACTGCCATGCAAGGCATCTCCAAACAATTCGCATGTAAGCTCAACGGAACAGCATCAAACACCCGCAACAACATTCTGCAGACATATTGCAACCTAATACCCGGCATAATTTTTGCTATGAATTCACGCACATCTTACATTGATCACATGCACACATCAATTGGCTAGTCCCACCTATATCTGTATACTATATCCCGCTCTGTAAAGTATTTGTCGAGGCTATGTTTAACCCTCGCCCGCACATGGGGGGGGGGGTGGTTGCCACCCCCCCCCCCCCAGGCAGTCTTTCTGCTCTGCACTCAACATTTTTAGAGCTAGAAAACTGATTTTTCGTATAGCTGCTCGTCCATCCTTTCTTGATGTCCACTGAAAATTTCAAGTTTCTGTGATTTTTGGTTTCGGAGATATGACCTTGTTTTTCAGGTCATGTCATGACCCAAATGGCCAATTCTCAACATCTTGCGTTTGCCATGGGCCTTGTGAGCTTTTGACACCCTGATTTCGGCCTTTTTTGCCAGTCTTACCTCCCACCTATCATGGAACATGTTGTTCGACGATGTACAGGGGTCAAGGTCAGGGTCAAGGTCAACCTAGGTCATCTAAGATAATTGCGTTTTAGGCAAGCTGATTTTTTTTTGTTGAAGTTTTTTGACTGCATTTTTGGTAAAAGCTTCTCAGATCATGATTTCATGTGATATGGACCCAAAAACAATCGGTGCACACATCAGTATACACACAGACACACACAGACATACAAACACATATAATTGACCTTGACCTAACTTGACCTGAAATGACCTCAGCAGCAAAATTCTGGTCGGATGGTGTGACAAAGAGGTTCTAGCTGGCTTGGCACCAGAAAACAGCATCGTCATCGGTATTTGATAAGCAGCGCACTTGATATCCAACGGTGACCCAAAACAGCAACATTTTTTAGTTTGACCTGACCTGGAAGGTCAATGACTGACCTGAGAAGGTAAAACTGGGTATCATTGGATTCGTCTCTTCCCAAAGAATCTTTTTGGTCTTTACTGCTAAGCTCTATCTCCAACAGGAACGAAATGGCGCGGGGGGGGGTGGCAACCACCCCCCCCATGTGCGTTCTAGGATGGGAAAATGGCATGTGCGGGCGAGGGTTAAATGTTTCGAGGGAGGTTGCACTTATTACGCTAGTTGGTAAACTGTTCCAATGACCTACCACTCTTCTACTGAAAAACGACTGCCTTAACTTTGTCCTGCTACGTTTAATGGCAAGCTTATATTGATGGCCCCTGCTTCTGCCCTCCAAATTGAAATCAAACAAGGGCCTTGATCAAACCTGATCAAACATATCCTGTGGCTTGGCCATTTACAAATTTAATGTAAATACCATTACAAATACCATTACATTTACAAATAAATTTAAAGATATGCTCGTGACTCGTGAGTCGTGAGCACCTCCGATGAACAACATCCCCGGTATATAGCCTCTTGGTTCTTTTTGTATACTGGGGTATACATCGTCTTAAGTCGATCTCTACGGAATTCACTAATGGCTAGGCTATTTCATGGCCATGCGTTGCATTCTTCATGCCATGGTCCGCCACCTGGTGGCTGAATTTATATCCTCAAGTTGAATTTGTTGACGCCTCAGCGTTTCAATCTTCCCGGTATCCCGGCGGTCGCAGCATAGAGGTACGTCTCCTAATTATTTTCCTGTTATTTCTTTTTAAGAGAATGACTCATCGACAACTGTTGTTTTGCTAACATAACCATTCGTTGTTGATCATTGCTTGCAGGTTTTGTAAACAAAATTGTGTGTTTGGAACTTTTCCAGAAAGAATTAAAGTTCATGTATACTAAGGTATACAAATGTCCTTGGCCCGAAAAATTTTGAGACGTGCTTAAGAAGTAGCACTACAATTATTCGGAGGAATTGACCTCTGAAAAAATTAATGTACACCCGAGTGACCAACGGGATCCTGCACGACGAAGAAATGTAAACGTCAGTATACAACGGACTGTGCCTAGAACTAGTCATGTATACTGTAGTATACATGGTTGCTGGGTCAGTTAAAGCCATTTTTTGTGGCTCACAAACAACATTATGCCTTCAAATGGCTCTGTGGTTGAGCGTTAACATTCTTCGAATCGTTGGCGACCTCAATGACCGTAGATCCTCACTCAAAGTTTGATAAATCGCCCGATGAATTAGAATCCGACCCCTAAGCACAATGACATAGGCAAGCACCTCTCTAAAACACACCATACGGCGAATTTTTTTTTAGAGATGTCGCTTCAGATAATGCTGCCAGGTCTTCCTCTACTGTTTATCGATTCGCAACAGGTGCTACAAGTTCTATATCTTCAAAGGAAATGGCAACTAAAGACCTAAGAGCAGTGGGCAAGGGGCAGAAGAAGCTGAAGTTAAGGGCGAGTGGTGTTGATAATTAAACGTGTCAATACTATTAGCCATTTTACGTCCTAAACAAACGAAAAAATACACTTTGGTGTTTGTATGGAAGTTTTCATGGATTGCATTTCAGTCAGATTTTATAGGCTTTGAGTATTTTTGTATATCCCAGTATACATGTCACTGCGCATGCGCGATGACCTTCACGGCTGAAATGTCACCAATCTGGTCATTATTGGCACCAAAGCTCTCAGCCAAAAAAGTTTCGTTGCTTTCCATTCATGGGCGAATTGGCGGGACTCAAGAGGATAGCATAGCTTTATAGTCACCGTGAGCATAGCTACTTTATACCACGTGACTACCACGTAAACGGTGAATATCTAATCGCGTATAATGCACCCGGCGCCGACATTATGCCGCGGCTGGTCATAATGCGGACATAAATTATGCACCATCCATCTCTATCTGACGTAAGTGACAAACTACGTGCCAAAAGAAATGGTAGCAGATCGACTGCTGCCGACTGATGTTGAGCCAAACCAAAACAACGGAACGACCGCTGCCAGTCGGATCAGGCGACGTGTTTCGGGCGGCGACTGTTGATTTATGAAACTGGAAGAATGTTTCGGCTTCCGTTCGGTCTCGGTGTGCCAGTGTGACTATTCTCGTTTACATTTGACGTGTTTGCAGAGCAAACCTGTCGAGGCTCTCTGAACAATGGGTTAGGTATGTGAAATTAATCACGATAAATAAGTGGTGGAAAGCGTCAAATCGTTTACTTTGTGAGCTTAATGTATGTGCATGAACGTTTACATTAAACGGTTACTTGAACGTTAAATGCTCATTCATTTCTACGTTAAGGTGTAAAAGCCTAAAAGATACATTTATTTGTGCAAGTTTAAACGTTATCCATTATAATGTTAAATGATTATGAGACTAACCTTATCATTTCAATACATATGCCTACAATCATTGGTGTCATTTTTTTTTTTTTAATGAAGGAAGACGCTTAAATGCGACCAATAAAGGCGGGATAATATTCACAACTGATTGGTGGAAATGGCCCCTTCCGACGTATCACCCTGCAGGATGAACATTAACATAGTGCACTCCCTCGCTGATTGACCAAACTGCTATAGTGTGCCTCTGAGAATCGATTAACGTTGCTCGAGCACCACCCCGGGATGGATGGGCACCGTCCTGAACCTCCACCGAGGCGCTCATTGATTATCAGCGGCACGCGTGCAAAAACAGTTCACCGATCGCGCATCGAGTATTGAAACTCGATGTCGCGTCACTGTCGATGCTGTTCCCCGGAATACGGCTCGGAACGCTCCAACTCCTGAGCGATATTTTATGGTGATTGGTGTCGTTTGCCCCGGCTCGATGCAAGTTGCACCGTCGTGAGCACGGCTGGGATTGGCTAATAAAAATTGAAGGGCGTTCTGATTAGCAGGTGCTCATTTTGAAGGTCGAACGATCAATACGTTTCGTCACATTTTGAGCAGAAGAAAGATAATTTCACTGGTAACTGAGAGCGGCATGGGAAAGTCATCGACAGCTTTACTTTATTACCGTCCGAGCTGTATAAGTTGGCTCAGGGTCGCATTTGAAACGGAGCATCAACAGACATTGGATCTGACCAGCATGACAGTCTGCAGTCAATTACGAGGCTGGCTCACGATGCCGATGAAGCGCATACAAGTGATAGCTGGATTTGAAAAGTGTGCTAGAAAGATGATGCAACTGCAACAGAGCCTGATGTACAAAATAGGCGTATTAGCCGTGCGAGCAGGACTTAAAGGCTTACGGGATATGAATTGAATCCATGTGATGCACGGGCAGTACCTGACCTGGTGACCTGACCTCCCGTGACCTCACCTTGTGTCCGGTCGGCAGGAACCGGTCCACCATGTCGAACGGCACGATGAAGCAGTCCTGGTCCACCTGGTCGAGCGAGATGAGCTCCTCCACCTCTGACCCTGACCGCCCTGACCCCGGCCCCGGCGGTGGCGGCGGCGCGGACCGAGCACCATCCTCCTGAACATCCTCCTCTGGGGCCGCTGCCGCCGCCGCCGCCGCCGCCGCCGCCGCCTCGGCAGCAGCGTGCTCCTCAGCGCGGTGCCGATGCCTCCAGCTGTCCTGCCGTCCACTGCACAGACGGTCTATCAGGCTGGGACTGCGGCGGCGCGGCGGCGGCTCGCGCGAGCCGCTGCTCACCAGGTCCATGAAGATATGGGTGCGCACCGGCCGTTCAGGCAGCTCGTGCTGATCGGCCGGCGCGCCACTGCCCACGGGACAGCGTAACCGGCGCGGCTGCAGCTTCAGTCGCGGCCGGGAGAGCTGCACCGGAGAATAGCCGTCACCGCCGGCCCCCTTGGAGCCGCCGCCGCCGCCGGCGTACAGGAAGTTCATGGGGCGGCGCCCCCAGTGCACATGCACTGAATGGGAGGCGACCGGCATCCGGCGGGTGACGCGTCCCGAGGGGAGGCGTCCCGGTCGGCGTGTGCCGTCCCCGCGTGGACTGATGAAATAATCACCAGACTTTAGTCAGCTGTGGCCTCCCGAAGGATCAACTCACGGCACAGAGTGATAGACTTGTCAGCACCTGTAGTCGCAGTGACTCGAAATGTCAGTCGTCGAGCAAACTCAGCTGTGAAAGCTCTGTCACAATGTTTGTTTTCTCACGGGGCGAGATACGAGGTCGACGATGCGACTTACGTCGACCAGGTCTGTCAGTTTCAGTCACAGCCACTGGTAGTGAAGGTCGTTTATCACCCCTGCTTCCACACGAAAGAAGACGGTGACCACTTCACCTCGACCGATTGAGATCAGTGCAGTTCTCACGTCGTACACAACCGTCCAGAGGCCACCACGAGGTCAGGAGCCGCCCCCGCTGCCCTCACTCGTCTCACACTGGATGCTTTGTGGCCGGGTGCGCCACTTGGACCACCGCGCCGGGCTGGCATGCTCGCAGCGCTGGCACCAACTCAGCTCGGCAATAGCTCACAGCCGCTCGCAGTGCATCTCCAGCCGCTGCCGGAGCCGCTGGCACAGCGGCCACCCCCTCCGTCACGGTCACCGCCGTCGCCGCCGCCGCCAGCGCATCCCGGCGACTGCCGGAGCCCGACCGGATCGGAGCGTCGGCGGCGACCGACGGCACGCGTCGGAGCAGCTGTGGCCGCCGGTGGCGCCAACTGTCCCCGTCGCCGCCGGCGGCACTGTAGCGCCACTGTTTGTGGCTATTTCGGCGGCAGTGGCCGGTCAGGTAAGACGGCGGCCGGCCGAGGTGGTCGGGTTATTCGCAGCTGATATACCCGAGCCTGCCAGCGGCCAGCACGGCCGAGGCCAGTGGCCAAGGTTCCGTCACGTGCCAACGGCGCCGGTCGCCAACCGACGGAGTGGGGGGCCGCCCCCGCCAGCCCGCTACCTGCCACCGGGACAATTGTCACAAAGGTCGTACATCGCTGGCATTTGCCACGTCAGCCCTCCCTTCTCCCGACACCAAAGCACGGCCAGATAAGTATCATCCCACTCCCATTTCCAGGACAGGGTTAGCTTCTATCCTATCCCCTAACACAGAAAACCGACACACCTCTCTTCCCTTAGAGACCGGAGACCCCGTCACACACCTCTCGCCGATTGGCACCAACCAATGGCTGAGGCGGAGACAGACGGCGCAGTGATTGGGTGCGCGACACGGCGAACGGACCATAACGAGAGTAGGATCGCATGTCTCGGGGCTCGGCGACGGCGCCGGGGTCACGTAGAACGACATCCGACTACAGGTGGCACAGGTGAATCGAATTAGAGCTGTGATTCCGATCGTGTAGGTTACAGCAGTCTGTGGATTCGCTCTAGCGTTTGTGTTTGTAGTGAGAGCAGAGCGGAATGCGGATTTGTTATGTAACTTGCTTTAGCAATCTCCATCTCTGCGTTTTTCAGCAGTCTTTGCATTTCAATTCCGTAAGCCGTACTGGCAAATAATTGACATGTTTTGTAAACCCAGTCGAAAATTTATAAACCAAAGTAACTGTATCGTTTGTTAGTGTTACTCCCACAAAGTGCCAACCACCCGGCACCCGATCCCGATGTAGCGCCTGTGTTCTCGCTGTCGAAGTCGCTCGTACCTGTCAGTATTTGCCGGTGTAAGACGCCCTACCGTCCCGCCCACAGCTGCATAGGGCAGACGCCAGCTGTGGTCCCGAATACGCCCCCTCGGTGTCTCGCTCGCACGCTGCTCAATGCAAAACAGACCCACCGGGTGAGCTTCCGAGAGACAGGGTGACGGGGACTGAGTGACAGACTGCAGCGGCGGTCCCCGCAGGTGGTCGGGCGGCCCAGGGTACGGCGGAAAATAGTAAATGAAATAGTGGTCAGGGTAGGGTCGCCGCCAACGGTTCTAAATTCTGAGACTGAATGCCGGTCTTTGATGTTATCTCATTCGTCGCTAGCTCCCATTCGTGTTTGGGTTATCAAATACTGCTGTTTCACGAAACTGCTACATGTAAAATAATGCAATATGTCTGTGGATTCGGAAACTGACCGTATGTGCATGCGATCCTGTTTGTTGTAGTCACCCAAATCTCTAACTATATGCAAAGTGGCTACCATCAGTCACCTGCATACCATGCACCAGATCAACAGAACGTTTCTCACATCGATTAATGGCTGTATTGAATGATGGGGCGTCTGCGGGTTTGGCACGGGACACTCGATACTCTCCTAGTATGATACAAATTCGACACTCACTGACGCTCATCAAGGCACATCGGGCAAACGGTACACATTTGTACAACAAACAAGTCAACAAGTCATCATCTAGGCATGATTGTCTGGGCCAGCCGCCACGGCGGCGCGCTGGCAGCAATTCATGGTCACCATTTCTTCACACACGTGTCGCTGAGAACAGTGGCGCCGCGTGACGTCACCGAGGCGAGCGCGCGCGCGAGTGTGTATGACGTCACCGGAGCGTTAGCGGCAGTGTGACGTCACCGGCGGAGAGGCCGGTAAGCTCCGTCTGACGCGCGGCACCCTGACTTGCTTGGCACGAAATAGAAAACACTAATATCACACGGCCGACGCACCGGCCGATCTCACACGTATTCCTCGTTGGGCTTGGGCGTGCCGCCCTGATTCCGTGACACGGGCGTGGCGCGCGCGCTCTGGCCGCCGCCCGTCGAGTCCGGCAGCTCGGCAATGTCTTTGAACACGCCCACGAGGCTCTCGAAGTTGGGCCCCCAGTTGAGCAGGTAGTCCCAGCCGAGACTGGAGCCGTTGGCCGGCTTGTACGAGTGGATGTTTGAGATGTCGTCGTCGGACGCGACCAGCGTGCTAAGAGAGCCGCGGAACGAGTCGAGACCGTCGTACTTGTTGCCGCCCGAGCTGTTCTCGTGGTCGTTTTCGTTATCGACCTCGGCTAGCTTCGAGAAGATCATGTTCTGCGGACCGAAGTCGCGCGCTACCTTGTCGTACTGGTTCTCGTACTCGAACTCTGAGCAGGTGAACGAGTCGTTACCGCTCTCATCCGAGCTGGAGCTGCCGCGCTCCATGATGGGGCCGCCGCCGGGCTCCCGGCCGCCGCGCTTCTTGCGGCCCTCTGAGCCGGAGCTGACGGCGTCCACCGTGTTCACCAGGCTCGAGTTGTTGCGCGGCGGCCGGCCGTGCAGGCGTCCCGGCAGCGGCAGCTCACCCCCGCCGCCCCCGCCTCCTCCGCCGCCGCCACCCTCAGCCTTTTTCTTCTTGGTGCTCTGTGATGATGTATGCACCGACTCTGAGCTGCGGCTCAGGTGACTGACCGGCGAGTTGAGGCTGCGCTCGCTGTTCACAGCGGCAGCCGAGAGCAGCGCTGCCGGCAGCGGTTTCCCGCTGATATCCTGCAGTGTGAGGATCCGCGGCGCCTGCTGACTCAGCTCCGAGCTCGGACTGAGTCGCGCCAGCGGCGTACTCTGCATCTTCATAGCGCCGGGAGATTCCCTCGGCGCCATCGGGTTAGGCGACTGCCGCACCATGCTGCGGGGGCTCTCGCGGTGCGGCGTGCTCACGAAACTGTGAGGACTGTGTCGGTGGTTATGTTTGTGGTACTGTCCCAGGTGCGGGTTGGTCTTGTAGCGGCGTACGTTGCCGTCTCTGAAGCCCTTGTAGTGGTAGACGACGTCGATGTCCGACGGAGCGATGGAGCTGGCGTTCTCGAGGTCATAGTGTTCGGGCACCTCAGATACCGAGTCGGGCACGCCCTGCTGGCTTACAGAGTCGATATGAGACATCTGAGGCCCGGCCGGCGACCGATTCACCACCTGGCGTTCGATGATGTCGGGCCGCTGCGGCGGGTACTTGCGGCCCATCTCTCCAGCCATATGACCCCGCAGTACCTCATCCGTCAGCTCACCCGTCTCGGCAAAACCAGAGTCGTGGTGACTCCGACCCGAGTCAGCCGTACTCGGACTGAGCGCGCCCGAGCCGCCGAGTTTCGCGTGCGACGGCGTCTTCTCGCTCTTGTGCCGCCTCAGTCTGAACACGACGAACGATACGGCGATGGCCACGAAGAGGATGACGAAGAACACGATGACCAGTGTGATGCCGATGGAGAGCGGGTCGGTGGACGGCAGCGCGCCGTGGCAGCCCTCGGAGACGCGCCCGACCGGCCGCGCCTCCAGCAGGTCTCCGGTGCCGTTCAGGGGCTGCACCTCGCCGTTGATGGCCAGAGTGGAGATGCAGCCGTGGAACTCTGCGGGAAAATGGGGGAGGGGCGTCAGGGAACGGTCCCGAGAAAATTGGTGGGTCAACGAAGCCAGAGAATGTCAGAGCAGCAAAATAACCTATGTAAAGCAAGGCTCTAATCTTGCGGCTACTCTACTCAGATTTAACTAACGCTTTTAGAAGTAATTTATAAACAAATAAAAGGGACATCAATGTGGTGGTACAAGCATTGGTTCAAGTCACTGAACACGTTCACTAAGAAGCCTCCTGCCATGTTAGCAGCACACAGTAGCAATGACTTTCAATTAACTTGCATTATTACATTTACTTCTGCACTTAACCCTCCACTTCCCCACACCCCCAGCTCACATTCCAATACTTACCGTCCACTTTGCCGACCGACTTGGGCAGCTCGGCGGCGCCTCCCAGCGACATCTGCGTCAGATAGGCGTCCAGGAAGTCGTGTACCGAGGTGGCGAACAGCGCGTCGCCCACCTGGACGTCGTCCATCAGCACGTGCAGCGTATTGTCCACGATGGCCAGGGTGAGGTTGTGCCAGCCTCCGTCGGTCAGGTCGGCCTGGGTGACAGTCATGTTGATGAGCGCGCTGGCGCCCACTCGAGACGAGTACTGCAGTTGTGATTCTTTGAGTTGGAGTAGAGTGAAGTCGTTGTTGGTGGCGGCGTACAGGATGACTCCGTCCGTGTCCACGGTCCGGATTCTCATGCTGAGACGTTTGTCGGGCCGTCCGTCGATGTCTCGCCGGCGCCGACGCCAGGCGTCTGCTCCCTTGAACAGATGCGGCACCAGCTGGCGGCGACGGTGGCTGGCGGTTACCCTCAGATCCACGCGTCCTCCCTGGAACGAGCTCGGCTCGAGCGCGGCCTCACAGTCGGGGGCCATCACTCCGTCCGGACACAGACACATGTGCCGACTCCAGCGGTCCAGACAGGTGGCTCCAGCACCGCACGGGTTGTCCCTGCAGGCGTTCTGCACGCGCTGGCACTTGTCCGAGATGCCTCTGGCCTGCAGCGGCGCCGACATGTTCAGCTGCCGACCGTTGACGAAGACGGACTGAATGCAGCCGACAAAGTCGTCCGAGCTGACCTGGCCGGGCCGCTCCTGGATCGGGTCGATGGTGCGCACGCCGCCCACGTACAGGGGCTCGTCGTTGAAGTTGAGCGTTCTGTGGAGACACGGGTTGGGTCAGTCAGACACGCAGTCAAATTTACAGCAACGGTTATTACAGTATAGAGCATGACAAAATGAAAAAAAAAGAAGATAAGTAGGATCAATGAGCTGAAACAAATGAACAAACATCCTAAGAAAGGAATTTCAATGTGAAAATGTGCGACTCACGTCCCGTTTAAAAGCGCTTAACTGCTATCGCATTAACTTTCCAACTCATTGAACAAATAAATTATATAGAATTCTATAGCAGGTAGCTTAAATAACCCTTTTAAAGATAGCCCCTGCTTACGATCCCCATCCCCCTCCCTGTCAGACGTTTCACCCGTCGTCACTCACCCGACGGTGCCCTCGTCGGTGGCGTACTCGCAGCCGCTCGATCCGGGGCTGCACTCTGCACACGTGTCGCCGTTCTCATTGCACGTGACCACGCTCAGTGACACCACGCGGCCGTTACGGGTGGCTGTCAGACGGTACCACGACGAGTCCGTCACGTGACGTGACAGCGTGACGCGCGTGACGGCCGTGCGCGTACCGCCGTAGGCCAGCTGCGGCCGGCCTCCGATGAGCTGTAGAGCCACGAAGTCGGAGCGGCCGCCCGTCTGCACGCCGTAGTTGTACACGAGAAGGCCGTCGGGCTTGTTGGTGGCGAACGTCACCGAGATGTCGTTGGTGCTCGCATCCAAAGAGGGGAAGGCCATATAGCCGAGAGGCTCGAAGCCCCAGCTCGAGCGGTCGCAGTGCTGCCCGTAGAAGTTTGGCGGGCAGGAGCACGTGTAGCCGGGCGCCTCGCTGACACACGTGCCGCCGTTGAGGCACGGGTTGGGCCTGCACGAGTCACTGGCCAGCTGACACGTGGCGCCGCGGTAACCCGGCCGGCACAGACAGAAAAATCCGCCGTCCAGGGTCGCCCGACAGGCGCCGCCGTTCTGACATGGGTCGTTGTCGCACGCGCTGGTCCGATCTAGCTCACATGTGGCGCCGCCGCGGTTTCTCGGGCACGTACACGTGAACTGGTAGCCGTTCTTGGCGCAGACCCCGCCGTACTGACACGGGTTCGGACTGCACGGGTCCTGTCGGTGCTGACAGGCCGGTCCAGTGAATCCGGTCTGACATTGGCAGGTGAACAGGTTACGCACCAGCGGACTGGTGAAGATGAGACTGGGACTGTCTGTGATCTGCATCTCTGAAGAGACATGGATGCCTGATCGGCATCGTCCGCCGTTCTGACACGGAGACGCCGGGCAGGGGTCGTAGTTGATGACAAAGCTGACGCTCTGCAGGAGTCGCTGGATGCGCACGCGCCCGTCCTTCAACTGCTGGATGACGTCGGTGCGGGGTCGGTAGCCGGCGCGGGTAGCCACGGCGAACAGAAGGTCAACGTGATCATCCGTCTGCGTCACTGAGTAGATGGTGGCCGCGTCCCGCGCGTCAAACAGCTCACCGACAGTACGCAGCAGAGGGGTGTACAGTTCGGCCAGGAAGTCGGCAGCTGAGGTGTTGAGAAGCCGCAGAATCACCGCACTGTCCAGCGTCGCGTTGTCAAACGCAGCGAACTGTAGCGTGACGGTGGATGTGACTGGGTCGTGCAGACCGTCATGTCCGGACGTGGTTAGTGTGTGAGACTGCGGTCCGACGACAGCGGCGGAGGTGAGCTGGCAGCCGCTGTCAATACTGAACTGACTACCGCCGCCGGACAGCAGCTGGCAGTGGTACTGGCCGGAGGTGTCGGCGTCGTTCGGGTGCACGTCAGCCACGGCACCGCCCGGGAACCGGCCTCCCATCGAGAACACCAGCACCTGGACGGTACGGGGTGACGACGGGCTGTCGTTACTGTCAGTCACCACGACCAGCACCGGGAACTGATCCTTCATCTTGGGCCGGCCGCTGTCCAGCACCTCGACCGTGAAACTCAGCCGCGACGTGCGCTCACGATCAAAGGCCCTCGCCGTGCGGACCGTGCCGGACTGGGCGTCCACCTTGAAGGCGTCTTGGTTCTCACCACCGACTAGGTAGTAGCTGAACGGCGCTCCGTTGGGCGGCAGGTCCGGATCGGTGGCACTGAGCGTCATCACCACCGTCCCCGCCGGTTCGTTCTCAGACACATAACCCACCACGGGGACGGTATCGAACGTCGGGCCGTTGTCATTCACATCAGTGATGGAGACAAGCACGGCGGCTGTGCCCGTCTGAGGCGGACTGCCGTTGTCGATCGCGCCAAGGGTCAGGTTGTAGATAGCCACCCGTTCACGGTCGAGTTTCTTGGTCGTCTCAATCTGTCCGCTCTGTTGGTGCACCTTGAACACGTCACCCTCGTTGCCGTCCAGGATGCTGTAGGTGAACTGGTTGTTTTGCTGCTGTTCATCCTTGTCAGTGGCCTGGACAGCGATCACTCCAGCGCCGACGGCAGCTCCTTCAGAGATGGAGACCGTGTAGACTGCTCGGGTGAACTGTGGCGGGTCGTTTCCGTCCTGAATGGTGATGCTCACTTGGGCTTCGTCCGTGTCATTGCCGCGGATACCTCCGGCGTTTTTGGCGAGCGCCGTCAGCACCACACGGTTGCGAGACTCACGGTCGAGCCTCCGAGCCACGCGGATGACACCAGTCTCCCGGTCCACCTTGAAGCCGCGGTCGTTGCTACTTCCCACCAACAGGAAGGTGACTTGCCCGTCGACACCATCATCGTCATCAGTAGCCTGCAGCTTCCCGACGCTGGTTCCCACCGGCGCCGACTCAGACACCGTGAAACGGAACACGCGCTCCACGAACTTGGGGAAGAACTCGTTGACCCCTGTGATGGCCACGCGAACCTTGGTCTGCCCGCGCTGTGCCGGGTTTGTGTCCGGGTTTTCTGCGAGTACGTCCAAGGTGTAGAACTGACGCTTCTCATAGTCAAACACGCGCTTCGTCCGGACCAGACCCGTGTCGGAATCGATGTCAAACAGCTCCCTGCCGTCACCACCGATGATGCTGTAGCGAATGACGGCATTTCGGGCAGAGTCCTTGTCCGTGGCAGTCAGCTTGATGACGGTGGAGCCGACGGGGGAGTTTTCCGAGACGGCTGCTTCGTACAGACTCTGGTTGAAGACAGGCGGGTTGTCATTGATGTCGGTTAGCGTGACATGTAGAACCGCCGTGGCAGTACGCGGGACGAAGCCCAAGTCGCTCACCACGATCGTCAGGTTGTACTTGCCCTGCGTCTCAAAGTCGAGCGGCCGAGCGTTGGCTACCACACCTGTCCTCGGATCAACCGTGAACAGACCGTCATCGCTGTCGCTGGACAGACTGAAGCGCACCTCGCCGTTGGGCCCGCTGTCATCGTCTGAAGCGCGCACCGTGGTGATCGTGGTGGCAACTGAGTCCTCCTCGGGTACAATGACGTGCTGGCTGAGCTGCATCACGGCCGGGTCGTGCAGATTCTCCCCGGTGATGACCAGGGTTAGTTCAGTCGTGTCTCGCTGAGCCGGTACTCCCTGATCAGTAGCCGCCACACGCAGTTGGTAGTACACCCCCGTCCTGTTGATCGGAGGAGACACCACCGTCACCCACCCAGTCTCGGCATCAACCGCGAAGAAGTCTGAGCCGTTACTGGGCAGGACGGAGTAGCGGACCAGCGCGTTGATGCCAGAGTCCTGCGCGTCTTCGGCCGACACCTGCAGGATGCGGTCACCCCGCTGAGAGGACTCCGGTACGGCGCTGAAGGTGACGCCGTCACGGAAGACGGGAGCATGGTTGTTAGCGTCCACGATGTTCACCGTGACCGTGCAGGAGGATGACATGGGCGGCTTGCCGTGGTCCATCGCGATGATCTCAATCACGTACTGGTTCTCTGGCGACGCCATCCGACTCGATTTCTTGTATTTCAGTGCCTGCTTCGAGTACAGCTGACCACTACTCGGGTCGACGCTGAAGAAGTCAGATGGCTGCTTGAGCGAGTACGTCACCACGGCGTTCGGTCCGGCCTTGTCTGCATCCTCTGCTTCGATCTGGCCGACAAAAGTCTCACTCGCCTCCGTTTCTGGTAAGTTGAACACATACTGCAACTTCTCGAACCGTGGTGCGTTATCGTTTTCATCCTGGATGGTGATGGTGAGCGGCGTCTCTGCACGCCACGATCCGTCCACGGCCGACACCTTGAGCACGTATTCCTCTCGCTCCTCACGATCCACGGTTCCCTCGACGGTGACATTACCGCTGACTGGGTCAATGGCGAACTTCTGACCAGGGTTCTCGGTGAAGCTGTACGTGGCGTTGGCATTCTCTCCGATGTCACGATCCGAAGAGGTCACTTGGATGACGAACGAACCGATCTCGGCGTTCTCAGTGACATTGACGCTGAAGAGACGCGTGAAGCGAGGCGGATTGTCGTTCTTGTCACGCACATCAATGGAGACCATCGCAGTGCCGGTCTGCTGGGGACTACCCTGATCGATCGCCTCAACAGTCAGGGTGTAGCTGTCCACTGACTCCCGGTCCAACTTCTCCTTGGTCAGGATCTCTCCCGAGTCGGCGTCCAGTGTGAAGATGTTCTCCACCAAGCCATCCTCTCTTAGTCGGTAGATGATCTTAGCATTGTCCGCTGTGTCAGCATCCGTGGCAGCCACCTTGAGAACCAGAGTCGGAGGATACTGCTCCTCCAGCACACTGGCTGTGTAGACGGAGCGAGAGAACAGCGGCGCGTTGTCGTTTGAGTCGGTCACGTTGACGAGTAGCGCAGCCACTGTGGTCAGGGGTGGTCGGTCCGAGTCGCTCGCCTCCAACCAGAGACGGTACTGCGGTGCGCGCTCGTAGTCGAGACCGAGTCGGCTGATACGCAGCACGCCGCTCTCCGGGTCCATGTCGAAGGCGTCTCCCACGTTTCCACCGGCAATGCGGTAGCGAATCGCGCCGCCCGGCCGCGGCTTGGGCGAGCGAGCACGCACAGTGACCACCTCAGCTCCCCGGGCCTCCTCGCTGAACTGGAACGAGCCGGGCATCGCCTCGAAGCGGGGGAACTGCCCGGCCGCCTTGATCTGGATGTGAAGATCAGCTGAAGAGGTGAGCGGCGGTCGGCCGCCGTCCGTCGCCTCCACGCGCACGTGGAAGGTGCGGTCCAGCCCGGCGAGCGGGGCCGCTGTGCGGATCACGCCCGTGTCCTGCTCCATGTTGAACCGGTCCGCGTCTGTGCCGGACAAGAAGTAAACCAGCCGGCTGTTGGCACCTTCGTCGGCGTCCACGGCGTTGGCACTGAACACGAACGAACCTGCCGAAGAGAAACAGGACATTCGTGAATGGAGGTCACGGCGAGACTTCCTATAAAACAAGCACCGGACAAATGCTGAGGCTTGACAGACCAATTTAAAGACGACAATTTCTGATCGGCAGCAAGGGCACGGAGATATGTCGTACTCAAAAATCTGACGACAGTCGTATTTAATTTATGCATGGCTCGTCCGTTTTTGTGGCGTTTCTTCGTCGACAGGACAGCTATCAGTTGTCGGCCGTTACAAATGACAAACGGCAAAAACCAGCATTCAATAGTCGCAGCCGTACCCTTCAGCCCCGACAGCTTACATCTCTGTCTCCGATCTTAACGTAACCCGATCGGAATGCACCCAACCCTCAGTCTCAAGCCCAACGTCAGTCGTCCTGATACAACTCCCATGACATTGATTTACAGGATCACATTTTCCCCCGAGCGCCTATCTTGTCGATCAGGAGATCCCGATAGCTCCACGTCTCTCCTCCGTTTCTGGGATGGAAACCAATCAACCTAGCTGCTCCCTGCCCCCGGTCCGACCAATTCCCATCCACCTGAGTGCGTCTGTCGGTCACTGACCTGCGGGCGCTCCGTCCGGCACGCGCACGGTGTACTCTGAGGCGGAAAACTGCGGCGGTGAGTCGTTCACGTCCCGCAGCAGGACGGTGACGTTGGTGGCTGCTGAGCGCGGCTGGGTCAGACTGCTGTCTGACACCAGCACGGTGAGTGTGTAGGCCTGCTGGCGTTCCCGGTCGAGCGGCGAGCGCGTGCGCACACGGCCCGACACGGGGTCGACGGTGAACGGCAGAGATGGGTCGCCCACCAGGGAGTACCTGTCGACAGGGCGTAAGGTGTGAAGGGAGACGTTGGAGACAAGCTGCAAGGGATACCTACTGGGCTCCTGGAGGGAACGCAAATGTGAGAGGGGTGCGAAATTTATCAGAAACGAGGAGAACAAGAAAATAAACGAAGGGTCGGGCGGGGTAAATCAAGGGGGTTGGGAACAACATAGAGGGAAGCAGAGCGGGTTTAACGAACGAGGGACAGCCATGGTGGTGCGAGACGGGTCAGAACACACATGGATTATATGGATGAATTCTAATGTCATCGACCAATGAATGGCATACCAGCGCGCCTCGGCTTAGTGACGACAGTTTCATCGCCAAATTCGGTAACCAGTGGCGACAGACATGCGGACGCGTCACCTTAAATAAATCACCGATATTATCCGCAATCCAAATTAAAAATGCGAGCTCCGAGGATTAAACTCACGCCCCTAAATCAGAATGCGGAATGGCCGGATTTGGGCGTTATGGCTTGTTGAATTTATTATGTAAAACGGTCTCACACCCGCCAACAGTCTCTGCTCTCAAAAGGAGCTGTTCGATATGCAATCGCGAGCGGCCGGGCGCCGGTGACTCAGTGGACGCACTGCCCTGTTCCGGGAGACCGGCAGACCGGTACCCGCTCAGCTGGGAGGGTCACGGCAGTCTGAGCTAGCCAAAAACGTCGGCAACACGGGTCGCGGACGCATGCCACTAACATCAAACACAGACAGACCAAGCTGTATTATTACTTTACCTGCGTCACACGTCCCCCTCTCTACGCGACACTCACCTCAGAAGAGCGTTGACGCCGTCATCCTCATCGCTGGCCGTCACTTTGATGACGTCACTCTCGGCCGGGATCGACTCGTCGACGGTGACGACATAGTCGAGAGCGTCGAACACCGGCGCGTGGTCGTTCTGGTCCTGCACGAGCACGTGCACGATGCCGGTACCAGTAAGACGTGGGTTACCTGCAAAGGACAGAAGCGAAAAGTTAGTTTCAGCCGGGACGAGGTAAGACTGTCGGGCAAATGGGCCGTGGAACGTGCACTCAGAGACATCTAGCGAGAAAGGGGAGAGTGAGCAGTGCAGGAGGTAAACGGAGATACAGCGAATAGGGTGGGTACACATGTTTGGGCGGTGGTTACTGACAGCACACGATGTGATATGCAGCTGAATGGACAGACGGACAGACAGATCATGACTTGCGGTAACGGATATAGCTAAGCGGATGCAGAACGTTTAGCTGGGGAGGATCAGTTGCCCGGACATCAGGCGAGGCGGATGGATCAACATGATCCGTTTGGGAGTGACAGCCTAGCGTCCTGCCGTCATCGTCTGGCCATGTCAATGTCGAGCTCATCAGATGGAGTCGCGGAGTCGCCCGGGATGCCGAGAAAGGGTCGGGTAGCGACCGGTGAGCCTCGCTGAGCGACCGAGAGCGGTGACAAATCGACCACGCCAGGGAGTTTATCGGTAACGACAGGAGACGACATAGACAACAGGAGACGGCGACATAATAGACGACAGGAGATCAGGGGCGGATCCAGGAATTTTCGGGAGGGGGGGGGGGGGCGGCAAGTCGAAATAGGGGCGACCTGGCAATCCGGGGGCGCTCCATACAAAGGGGGCGCCAAACCGTCAAAATCGGGAGCTAAAAGCCCGCGCCGTGCTAGGGGGCGTTATCGCGCTCCTGCTCAGTTTTTTCGCAAATATCTGAAAAACGGCTGCGCGCAGCGCTGCCATTTTCAGCGTACCTTATCATGCATCTTTTTTGCACATGTAAAAATGTCTGACGCGGGTGATGGAAGGTCAGGTCACCAGGTTATGCCAAGTGACCTAGCCTAAGAAAAAGTTCAAATGCTTACCATTGCTATACCGACTGAACGATTGCTTTGAACCTTTCAGCGATTGATGAAAGCAACACTATTCATGAAATGTATATCTCGGAATTTCGATATCTGTGACCTAAGGTCAGGTCAGTTGTGCGACGTCTCCATTAGGTAGGTAGGTATAATTAAGTCTTTGGGAGAAAGCTGAAAGGCATCTCTTTTGGACGAGCGCCATTCTAGACAATATCAAGCATTGGGATACATATAAAATTAACACACTGAATAAGAACATTGCACCTAGTGTGACCACTCATTATGTCCCAGAGGTCATCCCATGTCATGAAAGGTCCGCAGCAGTTTTTTTTTTTAAATAACTTGATAGATTCAAGCTAGAGCGATAAAAACACCTCAGCTGTGTTCAGCTCGACGATACGCATCGACTGCTATGCAGCATGACCTTTCCCGGTCAGGTCATGACCTTGACCTGAGGTCAAATTCTCAAAATTACCTTTCATAAGGTCAACCTTTAGTTTGTTCGACGTGTCTCGACGACAGAAACGCAATGCTGGCAAACGTAATGTCGAGACTCTCTTGAGTCAAAAGTTATTGCGGGGAAAACATTGTTCGTAAAAAGGCTATTTTTAGAGTCTTTTGCCCTCTGAAGGCTAAACCGTTGACCTGAGGTCAAATCTGAGCGCAGCTTGCAGAAACACCTTTAAAAGGGCTATCGAATGCCGGAATGCGCTTTTCTGCGGCGCTATAGCTCTATTGGTTTCCGAGTTATGTGCCGCTGCTTCGAAAACGGAAAAATGTTGAAACAGGCAACATTTTACCTTTGATTACCTCTGGTGACCTGACATTCGACCTGACTTAAAAAATGACCGTTTTGTTTTCGTCCTGTTTTTGACGATCTTTCGAATGCCGCTTATCGCGTGTCACTACGCGGCCCAGGAGCCGAGTTAGACGAGGGAGTGTGCCCCCCCCCTCCCTAGCAGGACACGGAAAACTCAGACCACCAGCACGGCACGGGTTAAAAGTCGTAGATGGGCACCGCTACACTAGCAAAAGATATTAGCAAAAAGGTGGCCTCCATTTACTGGTGCAGTCCTTCTTCTCCCGGTGATGCCCCCTCCTTTTTCTGGAAGCGTCTCACTTATGCTGGTATGCCTCACTTCCCGGGGGCGCCCAACCTCTGCTTGGATCGCCTAATCCATTATGGAGAGACCCGCTTTGCTTAAGTCGCCTCATTTCTTCCTTCTAAGAACGACCAATTTGCTGTAGGCGGCCCACTTATCTGGGACGCCCATCTTCTGCTAGAAGTGCCCCTCTTCTTCCTGATGCGTCCCACTTCTACTACGAGTGCACCTTTTCTGTTAGGGCGCCCCTTTGCTGCTGAGGAGTCTTTTTTCTACTGTGAATAGGAAGCCCTCTCCTGTTGGGCGACCCCAAATTCTGCTGGAGGCGCTCCACTTCTGCCCAACTTTTGGTGGGATGCCCGTCTCTTGCAGGGGGCACTTCTCTTTTGCTGGAGACGCCACTCTTGTGGGGGCGCCCTTCCACTGCGGGGAGCCACTGCGGGGCTCCTGTTTTTTTTTTCTGGGGCGAGGCGACCCTCTGTTGCTCGGAACGGGGCACACCTCTCCTTTTACTGGGGCAGTGGGCACCGCCCCTCTGCTGGGGTTGCCCTTCCGCTGTCGTCAGGGGCGCCCCTCTCGGTAGAATATACTCATTTTCTTTTTGTAATGGGGCGCCCCTCTTCTACCGGGGGCGCCCATCTGCTGCTGGGGCGTCTGTCTTCTGCCGGATATTGTCAATGGGGCGCCCCTATCCTGCTTGGCGGGCCCAACCTCTGCTGGAGGCTCCCCATCTCTGATCAACTTTTGCTGTGGCGCCTCTCTTCTGCTGGGGCGCCCCTGTTCTGCTTGGGGCGCCCGTCTCCTGCTGGAGACCCCTCTCTTCTGCTGGGGCGCCCCTCTTTTGCCAGTGGCACCCATTTTCTTAGTATGGGACTCCTTTTTTGCTGGGGCGCCCAGCTACTGTCAGGGCGCCCCTCTTCTCGGAATGGGTGCGCCTCTCTCCTTTTGCTGGGGCGTCGCTCCTCTTCAGGGGGACACGTCTCCTGCTAAGGGTGCCCTTCCGCTGCCAGGGGCGCCCCTCTTGAACAGAACGTATTTTATATTCTTGTAACGAGACGCCCTCGTCTGCTGGGGGCGCCCATCTGCTGCTGGGGCGACTCTCATATGCTGGGAATAGGCAATTGGGCGTCACTCTCCTGCTTGGTGAGCCCAACTTCTGCTGGAGGCGCCCTATTTCTGCTGAACCTTTGCTGTGTCGCCGCTCTTCTGCTCGGGGCGCCCTCTCTGCCGCGGGATATGGGCGCCTTTTTCGGATGGCGGGGGGGGGGGGCGGCCGCCCCCGTCGCCCCCCCTGGATCCGCGCCTGCAGGAGATACCATTAAGGGATAATTCAAAAGCGGGGTGAGACGTCTCTATAGCTTTAACGAGCACTGATTGAGGGATCTCCTAACCACTTCGCTCCATATTCGCTGATGATATCGAGAAATCAAAGTTATTACCTATTGGTTCTAGTTTCGGTCAGTGCGGCATGGGAGACTCTCGCTGAATTTCTCCGTCAGATTGCCAGTAAACACACCAGCTGCGTCTCGGTCACATTCCGGGCACGACTGAGCCGTGAGTCCCGTTCGTCACCAGCCGGCGCCGGACCGACCCGACCCACACCACATTATGGTGATTATGTGCATATGCCGGTCATCAATTCAGTCCGCAGACGCCCCGGTCTCGCCGCTGCGACCTGTCGCCGAATGTCACAAATGCAAACTAGCCTCGTGTTGTCTGCTCTGTGAGCGGTGAGACACGACGCGTGAATTCCTCGGTGTTGGGTCGGACGTGTGGGAGATGGCTCAGAGTCTCGGGGCAGGGTTAAAGCCGGGTGGAGAACGCACTTGACGTTTGGCTCCGGGCGACTGTGACCCTTGATCCCATCGGAATGTGGCCCTGGGTCGATCACGGTCCACAGGAATGCAATCGAAGGGATCCGGCGCGGCGGGGCGGTCATACCGATCGGCCGCGCCGCGCCGGCTCTGCGGGACTGCTCATCACGATACGGCTCGCCCTGCCGTCCGTCCGTCTGTTGGCTAGTCCGCCCGTTTGTTTGTTCGTACGCCCTACAGTCTGAGCCCCTCCTGGCTCCTGCCCATCCTTCTGTTCGAAGTCCGTATGTACATCCGTAAGCTGTTCGTCCGTTCGTCGGTCCGCTCGCCCGTCCATCCGTTCGGTCGCTGCTGATTTGAAGCCTCCAACAACAAAGAAGCAGCTACAGCACACACATCCTGACGTGGCGTTCCTCGGCAGTGACTGCGTCGTTCCGCCGCCATCCGGCTCACAAATTAACTCATTAGTATTGTATCTGAGCGCTGTCGGTCGGCAGAGGGACCGTTTTTCTCCGCCGTCTGTCCCCGTCCGTCAGCCCGACAGCAACGCCGCTGCCAGCCGAGGAGCGGGGTACGAGGAGTCTGAGCAGCAGCGGCGGCACGCGCGTCCGCCGGCCGCCGACCATTGTTCTCCAGCTCACACATGTATGCTAATTGGCTGTGCTTGCTGCCGCCGCATCTCCGGCGCACCGCCCGCAGTCGGCGCCATCTTGGCGATCCGGCCGCTCGCGCACAGGCGCACGTGAGGAGCCCCGCCAGCGCCGCCGGCCCGGCGCGGATTAATAACGTCTAATCGCGCCGCTGCTGATGCCGATTTCGAGGAAGCGGCGCCGCCGGCGCGCGCCCGGTGGAGGCGGCTCCGGGTGGCGGCGGCGGGTCAGAGTGTGGGGGGGGGGGGAGACGGCCGGCCGCTGGAGACCTCTGGTGGCCGGCCGACCGGCCGCTGGCGGTTCTCACTAGCCGCCCTAGAGGTCGGCCCTTCCATACGTCATCCCATGTCAGCTGCGAAATACCACGCGCCGAGAGCCGAGCTGTGCACGGGCCGGGCGGTGAACCCGCCCGAGGCCGGCGCTCCGGGCCGGGACTGGTTCTGAAGTCGCCCGCTCCGGGTCGCTGATATGGGATGTGGTGGACTCGCGTCAGCCAGTCGCTGTGTGTTGAAGAATGCGGTATGCGGGGCTTAACATGT